GAGATTATGTAACTCGTTGCGTGTGTGGAGATTCGCAACCCTTGAACTGGGTACCCGTGCGGTCACGGAATATGAAAATATTCACGAACATACGTACAATATGCGTGTGTCGACTGGACTTTTTTGTTAAGGTAGATCGGGCAAAATGAGAATATCCCTCGGTAATTAAAGCACACAAATGTGCGCTCGGAGAGGAGAGAGACCACCAGCCACAGAGCAAGCCCTGTAGGAAGCAACGGGTTTGCCCAGCACCTACAGCGAGCCACGTGATAGGGGAGACGGGCCACAACACAAGACGATCATCGTGGACATCCACGCCAATGCCGGCTAAACATCTGGCGAATTCCTGGAACCAAGAGAGACGTTCCAGCAACATTCCCAATGCAATGTGCCAAACAACATTTTGTTGCTTTTACGCTTCATATAAATTCGTTCAATTAGTAACAGTTTATTTTTTAAGCGTTTGTCTGCGACACAATAGCCATCATTAAGTAACCATTCATATGGCTCTTTAAAATAAAATAAAAAACTGATAAAAACATTTCGAAAATTCAATTGTCATCTGGCCCCAATGACGTTGAGTGCAGTCTTCAACCTTTATTAATTCGATCTCTCTGGCCTCTATATGTGTGTGCGATGTGACGAGGGCTCATTGCCTGAAACATCACTGTAGCCTTAATTGTATTACGGCTGCAGTGTTATTGACAAATAGCAGTTACATAATAGGTAATTAAAATAAAAAGATGTCAGTGACATCATTGTCGGTTTCTATGCAAATGCAAACTAACTTTGGCTGGCCATATATCTGTAACCGTAGTGTCATTTTGTCAAACAGAGACCTACAGTAAAATAACCTAGGCCACGATCTTTAACAGCCATGTGCAATGCAGGTCACTGATATTACGATACCTATTATCTGCTTTTTTGTTATTTATATTCTCCACAACGACGCAAATTATTTCCAGTTATGTATTATGAGATAATTTTCCGTGGAACCAGGACCCCATTTCATGAAAATAAAGAATGATTCAATGCCAATTTAGCAGACTATAAAGGAATAAAGTTGTTAAATCTTTTTTTATGAGACCTCCTTTGTAATAAGTTAGGTTTTTTTTAGATCGGTAGGTCATTAAACAATCCGGACTCTGCTGATGTGACCCTGCGTGTCGAAACTGGTCCAAAGTTTGCTTGCCTTGAAACAATGCTGCTGATATTTTGCACTCCCACAAGGCCGTGCGGCTGATGGGTCGTGTAAGATTCACTTTTTTCATATGGAGAGACGGATATGTAAAGTGGATGTATTTTCTGACTATTATTTTTTAAATATAATATTAGGCCTTTGTAGTCCAGAGCAGTTGGAGTTGCATAACACATTATCATGCAAATTATTACATGAAAGGAAACACCGCGTCATTTGAGCCTATGCTTAATTATTAAAGTCGTGTTCTTGCAATGTTGTTATGCGTTGGGGATGTTTTTAGACTTGGTAACCTGATATGCCCGGATGATATGTATGACAAACAACATGGCAAGGCTGCAGCTCAAAGGCCATAACTTAAGCCACTATGGTGGTTGACGATAAGAACCCACCATTGAAGAAGTCGCCGGTAGGGTGACCTTAAGCGCACGCATAGTGGGGCTGAACGATTAATCGATTTGAAATCGAAATCGCATTTTGAAACAATGCGATTAACAATTCGCAAAGGCTGCGAGTTTTTTTTTACTTAACAATTGTTCTATTTTTGATTGTTCTATTTCAATGAAAACATTTAAATAAATATATTTTAGAAGCAATTAATATATTTTAAGTTATCATCCTTGCATTAGAATATATAGAGCAGTTAATAGTTTGATGGTATCATGTGATAATGCTCCATCACATGTTTTAAATCTATTACACAGTGAATATTGAACTGAAGCTTGACTTAATATTTAATCGCACATCAAATCGCAATATCTGTCAGAAAAATCGCAATTAGATATTTTCCCCAAATCGTTCAGCCCTAACGCATAGGTCTAAAGCATGCCACGTGACCACGTGTTACCACCACATGGCATGTACAATGCTCTCCGCAGCCTTGTCTAGACCACCATCTCTAAAGAGCTACAATTGTGGTCGTAATTATTGTTTAGACCAATCAAGAGAGTTGTGGCCACACTTTCAGCTCTTTTGAGCTCGTGGCATAGATGAGGCTGCAGAGGGCATTGTACATGGCATGCACGCAAGGCATAATGGGAGTCGTGCGTTCCGGCTGATTTTGAGTGGCACAGCTCTGCCTGTTTATGTTGGGTTTTATCATCTTGTACAAGAATTGTTGGATTAGAACCAATCCAATAATCTGAAGAAGTTACGCTACTTACAAAGCCAAGAGACCAACGTCGAGTGGCCGCATTGGGCGTTGTTCACGGTACGGACTCGGGTGTTACGAGATCAACGTAGACGGAGTCTGAAAAAGTGGAAGGTATCTGTTGACAAAGCCAAGATACAAACATTATAGCGAGGCCTCACACCCAAAACCACAAATATCATAGCAATGCTACTCGATTTGTGCTCAACGTAGCTATTGCAGCATTTGATTTAATCACTGACCTTCTAAAATGGCAGCAGCTCAAACGTATTTACGAGCATTGTGAACGCAGATTTACACTGAGTGCAGGATTGGCCACAACATTGCTGGGGAAATTACCTGGAGACAATGCAGAATACGGAATGCAGACGATTATTAAATGAGCTGCACACACTCCAGTGCAGTCTCCTGTGCGAGTGAAGGTGGCAGTGACACAATGGGGGGGGGGCCCTCTTGTCGATAAGAGTTACAAAGCTCAAAGCAGTCTCCTGTGCGAGTGAAGATGGCAGTGACACACGGGGCACTCGGGGTGTAAGTGCCACTGGGAACTTTACCCAGAATTGTGTGCGCAATAGGAAACCACAGAGTGCCGAGGCAGCCTGCGTGCTGGACTGCTCCTCGTTACACAGACACTGTCTTGTAGCCCTGCATGCCCGACCTGTCGCTTAAGGTCGCGCGCCACCACGCCCAAGCCAAGCCGCACACGCACATATTTGCTCACGCCCCTGTGCAGCAAACAAAAGATCCCCCGTATAGCCTTAATAGACTTTTGGGGCAAGTGCTGTTTGCGATGAACTATGAGGGCTAAGCACCACGCCCAGCTGCCTTTGTCTCCCAAGTGGTGATGTTTGTAGACCGTGCCAGGTACCCATTTCAGGCTGAGTCGACCTAGGGTGGGGGGCGTCACTGGTTTTGGCCGTGAGCGGTAATCGAACTCGACTCGCCGGGATCATAGCGCAATTGCCTAACCGCTCCCCGCAGCAAACACACACGCATAATCATATTTAGTCTCGTCTACACATCCACACATACAGACAAATATCCCCCGTGTAGTTTTACAGCACCTGGTGACAGTCGCTGTTTGATGATGATAGACATGGCGCACAACAAGGTGTTGTGTGGCCAGAGCCACACCTAGCTATCTCCCCCCCCCACCCCCCCAGTTTGGATATGCACACATCACGCCAGGCACGACTGAGTCTGCTAGGGGAGACCCAGGACAAGTTATGATGTCACTTGCCACTGATGTTAACCGTGGGTGACAATCGAACCACTGTGCCATCGCTCGCCATGCTCTATCCCAGAGGCCACTTTGAGGCAACAACTGTGGAAGGTCACGGAAGGCAGCAGACTTATCACCTGTATTCCTCAGACTTTCCTCCTCAGTGGGGACATGAGCAACCATTCTACGCACGACCGCCTTAGGACTTTATTTCTACGTGGTTGAATATACATGCTCCGCCTGTAAACATGTCAACGCCAACATGATGCGTGCAGAGTTATAGCAGGGTGCCTGAGAGCCACCCCTGTTGCCTGCCTATGTGCACTTCTCTGGCATAGCGCCCCCTAACAGCAGGAGGAGAGTAGCAGGTGACCACGACCGGCAAGTCCTTGAGTCATCTGCGACGTGGCCATCAGCCAGCACCACCGCCGTCGCCTCTCATCGAGACACAGTTTCTTGTGCTCCACGTTACCACTGTACCACATCACCGGAATCTGCCAGAACTTCCGTCTGGCAAAATAGAATTGGAAAAAAAATTCGATTTAAAGCTTTCGTGACTGCAGGGAATCATCTTCTCTGGTTCTTTCGGTAAAGTCACGTAGAATGTCTTATTTTTATTTTATTATTTTATTCTCATTCTACGTGACTGTACCGAAAGAACCAAAGAAGAGAATTGGAAAAGTCAAGCGACAAAGCCGCTGAATGGAGGAGCCGGCGAGGAATCACCTCCCAGTGAGCAGCTCGCATCTAGCTCCCGATTCCAAATGGCTCACATGGCGGAGCCTAAAAAGACTGAGAGTGGGTTTCGGTAGACCCAACTCTCTCATGAAACCACGGGCGGAGGGTGGGGGGGGTCTACACAACCGACAAATGTGATTGGTCAGGAGAAGCAAACCATGGATCATCTCCTGAGATATCCTGCAGCACCGCAATACACTCCTCAAGATTGGGCAATGCCAACACCAGGAGCCGTGGCCTGTGCAGAATATTGGGAAAAGACTATGTAGGTTGGACAGGAGACACGACGAAGAAGACATAGGCAACCAGCACCACTGATCCTCACATTATGTGCTTTGGTAGTTCAGCCCACATCAGCATGGCACTCACGTCCACCTGAACCTCGTGGCCGCACTTGCAGGAGCCCTTTGATATTCTATTAAAAAGTAGACCTACTCCTTGTCGTTTGATGCCAGAGGGACTAACATACCAGGCACAGTACTCATTTGTAGGGGAAGATCAGGAATGGTTAAGATAATCGTGACTGGCGTTGGCCGTGAGCGAAAATCGAGTTATATAAGCGCTCAATTACACACACATACAGTAATGGTATTTTCCATTACACACACACGCACACACTGCAACGTGTGTTACCTGCACACCTACACACGCCCAAACACACCCTACCCCACCCAAACCCCCACCACACCCCCCACACGCGCGATGTCGACACACCCCAGGGTTCTGCTATAAATGCCGGGGTTGATGCTCACAGAAAGGCACAGCACGAGGTCAACTCTTCACAATTCCTTCCGACTCGTCAGCAATCACTTCCGTCGCTTCAACATGAGCTGCCCATCGAAGAAGGTGAGAGATCGACAACCCCTGCGCACCGCACACTGGACAGACGCCGCTGCCCACGGTGCCACCCTGCCCCTTGGGTGCCACTGCTGAGGTTATGCAATGCTACGGGACATGTAAATGCATGTACAATGCTACATATCAATAGCATAAATTAATGCTAAATATAGAGCACGTTAAATGGGGGTCAAGGCGGTCAAGGGAGATGACAGAACAGTGGATTTTCAAATCCATTTGGAGACCCTTGCAATGAGATATTCCATCTCAAGGGATGTTCCAGGTAAAATATAAACATCATATGATCTATATTCTTGGTTCTTTCGGTAAAGTCACATAGTAGGGAAACAATAAAATAATAAACATATAAAACAATACAATTATCACGAGGTTTCGGCTGCAACACAAGCAATCATCATTAGGTGTGAAAACCACAGCAAGAAAATTTGAGGAAAAAAAAGCCACTTTTTTCAAATTTTCTTACTGTGGTTTTCACACCTGATGATGATTGCTTGTTTTGCAGTCGAAACGTCGATATAATTTTATTGTTTTATATTTTTATTATTTTATTGTTTCCCTTCTACGTGACTTTACCGAAAGAACCAAGAATATGAATCCCTGCAGTCACGAAAGCTTTAAATCATCATATGATCTGTTTAACCCCCAACTTCTCCCCTTTGTAAATACAATTGTTGAAGGAGCTTCCTCGAGGGATTTCCTGCCAATTGTGACCGACTGATGTAAATTCTAGTTATGTCTCAAAAAGGGGCTAGAAATCTCAAATGTGGTACAACATTGACTTATTTGATTCGGTCGACCAAATATGGATGGCCACTCAGGGCGACAGAGACCCATGTCATCCCATTACGATCTCACGCTCCGCGTGAAATGTAGAGCAATGGACCGAACCGAACTGCACCATTAAAATGTCATGTTCCCGTGGCACAGGGTGGGCCTAGTTAATTGAAAACCGATAGTATAACAGCTCACAATTTTTAAAAATACCACAAATTTGGGACATTCGGTATTGCAGTGTTCTGCAATCTAAGCAAATAAACACTAAATGTATTTCTAAGATACAAATGTAAAGATATATAAATTAGGGGAATGTATTAACAGCCATGCAAAGATAAAATATCGTACGACCACGGCCCTGTTCCGTGGTTATTTTGCTACGTTACAGCGTTAATGACAAATGGTGTTGAGATTTTGTTGAATCATACAAATAGACAATTTGGAATATTTTCACTGTTATTTTAATATACTCATCGTTCATGGTCATCCCATGTGCCATTTGCACATCGGTATGGACTCGTTTCCAGCAATGTGCGGCACGTTAATGCAGAATGAAATCATTCATTTGGACGAATGCGTCGATATCCTGGTTGGCGGTTAACTCGGCCCATCATCCCTCCGGGGCTGACGGGCCAACGACGGTCATCCTACAAAAAATACTCCACCCCCCCTCCCTCCCCGCCGCCATACGAAGGTGAAATTCCCAGCACTAGTTAAAGACGTTTAGGGAAGAGCACAATCTCAATGGTAATTTGAGCAGGAAATCGCCGTTCGCGACGTTGCCGCCACCGTGTGGCAGTGACGTCATTGCACCTAGCACACACGCGCTGGAGTGTTTGCTGTGCACTGGACCTCAAAGCGAATAAAGCGCATGGTATTTATACCACCGGCCGGAGATGAACGCCATCGAATGCTCTTGTAGCGATAGAGACACATGCAATCACATTATGATATCACCCTCCCCGTTAAATGTGGAGCAATGGACCGAATAGAACTCCGCCGTTAAAATGCCGTGTCCCCGTGTCTGTCTCACTCACTTCTGCCAGCCTGAAGACCTGGAGGCCAAGTTCAAGGCTTTGGACAAGGTAAGCGATGGACCTTCGACTTCAAAATTGTACTGTATTGTCACCACCATCATCATCATCATCATCTTGTCACTGTGGTTGGTAATATAACCACAAACTTATGGGCCACACCAGATGATGCAGAAAGATCTAGCGGTTCCTTGTCTTAAAACCAGAGAGGTACCCGCACGGCCGGATCGAGGTATCTGCCCCCGAGTTATTTCAGTCATGGGGTTCTTTGACCATACTTCATGCTGATCAGCCGTCACCGGGTTCATAAAAACAGTGCACTAACCACTTTGCCACCGTTCCTCCCCGTGCCGCTCCCCTTGACAGATACGACACACACCCTCCCTCTGTTCTGCCTGGGTTTCCTCTAGGTTCTCCGATTTCTCCCAAATAAATTGTTTTTACTCACAATGCAACTGGTATTGTTCAAACATCTCAGTGCTGGAAAGCAAAGTCCGCAAATTACTCATGTGGGGTTAGACAAAGGAACATCGTCCCCTGCTGTGAACAATTGGCAGAGCCCTCCTGAAAAATAGTCTTGAGACTCGGTATGGGTTGGCTGGGTAAAAAAAAAGATGATAATTTAATTGGCGTGCCAAACATTTATTTTAAAGGCATTGCAAAGCACTCGTTTAAGGGATATGACCACGCTGGTCAATACGGGTCATACCAAAACTATGGACCATATAGTAAACAATTATAGTCTGCCCTCCTTCAATGGAGGAGGAACTGCAAAACTAAACTAACTGTCTCCTGAAGCCCTCACGTGGCTAGCAGACCTCGACGTTGGCACTTAGATCCTGAACATATTGCTGCCATAGACAAGAATGGAAGAGCTACGGGTCATTAAAACCGCGAGTGTGCCCCCTGTCACCAGGATGGCAACAAAAGCCTGAGCAAGGCGGAGCTGAAGGCCGGACTCTCGGTCCTTGGACTCAGCGAGGCTCAACTGGACAGCTTCTACGTGGCAGCAGACAAGGACAAGGATGGGAAGATCAGTTGCAGCGGTGAGAGACATCATCGTCGGCAGAACATGAATAAGCAGTCATAACTTTCTACAGTATGATGCATAGATGAGCTATCCGGCTTGCCGATTCTTAATAGTGCTCTCTGAACAAAATATATATTTGAATGGATGTGCTAACTTAATAACTATCAGGTGCTTTGAACTCATTGAGGGGTCAGTGACTCGGTGCCCACGTGACCCCAGGCACGTCGGCAAGTAAACCAATGACGTGAAGGAGCAATGAAAACAGACGACACGTTATGCGTCTTCACCGATTATACATAGCTCAAGGATACGTACCTTGCGTAGCCTAATTGACACGTGCTTGATTTGTTTTCGCGTGCAGAGTTCGTCAAATACTTCCAGCAAAAGAAGTAAAGAGCGATCGTGGAAGCTGAAAACCAACCACACGGCCCCGTGCACACTGCAACACTCGGTCACACACCAACAGGCGCGCAGACACACACACGATGCACACTGTCACACCACCAACACGTGCATACCACCAGCACGTGTTAGAAGCACACACCGACTCAGCACACACTTCCTTCACCACACGGATAAAATATCGTACCCTAAACAATGACAGTGCTTAGCACGAACAATATCTGTCATATGTGTAGTGTAATGTAATTGACATCACAAATGCATATTACTATACTGTAGGAAAGGTATCTCAGGCATATATGTATAGTCCATAAATACATACGCATATGCATTTGATAATAACAGAACACACACAAACGATACAGAACCATCTCATAAGCTGTCTGGTTTTCACTATTTCCTCTGGGGTTTCTGGTGAGGTGATATGAATGAATTGAGCTGGAAATAAAATTACAATCTACCAGTGCGCTGTGGTGTGCGTGTGCATTGATTCTGTGGCGATAACACGCAACTTCACCATCTCCAGCTGCCATTCGTCACAAACATCAGCTACCAATCAAGGCACTTGCGCCAAGCTAGGTGCACTGTGTACAAAGAGGCACTTGTGCTTTTTTCTAGTGGTGAATGTTCGATGGCATGAGGTTATAAGGTCACGGGTCAAAGCTAGTTAGCAGATGCTCACTGATGGGACCCGTGTCCAGATCTTTCAAGGATCTGTGAGTTTGAGGTTATTTGTTGCACGGATTATCCCGTTTGGCCAGTTGCCCGACTATTATTTTACATGGGGGGCGGGGGGGGGGGCCTCCGTGGTGCTTGAGCACAACAACAAAATACAAAAACATCAGTAACGCGAAGAACGAGTACAGGGTATTCAAGGAATATTGCACAACGACGCATTTAACGGTTCTAGACGAAGCACACGCGAATAAAAAAGACAGTGCAAACATAATGTAAGAGCAAGGGGTGCCATCAGAAAGTTAGGTAAAGGTGCAAACTTGTAATTTTAATCAATAACGACATAAAGAGGGGTAGTGAATGGAACCAAATTGCAGATGAGCGATAAGGGTATTCCAAAAATGTTGAACAGAAACACGGAAAAACCTTTTTTTTTTACAAAACAAGCTCTTGTGATCTGCTCCACACAATCAAGTCATATTAATCCCAGGATGAATGCTAGGACAGGCCAACCTTATTGCGTCAAGTTGACACGGGTGGTCCTGTTCAAGGGGTCCACGTTTTCACAAAGAGGAGAGGGCTTGATTGTTGCCAAAAAGGCACAGGGCTTCGTGTGGCACGACAGGCCATGCAGCTTCCACACAGCCTCACGTAGCTGGTGAAAAGATAATTTTGCTCAACCAATTAATACTGACACAAAGCTAGCGATGAGCAGACTGCTCACTTATGGAAACTCCTCAATCATCTCTGTTACTCAAGCATTTGTGGGGTTTAAGGGAAAATGTGGAATGTTCACTGACAAAGGATGCAAGAAGGCTTTTTTAGTGGAACTCATAACAAGGCCCCACTGCATGGCAAGCTTCAGAAACAGTAAATTATTTTATCAAGCAATCAGCATGTGTAAGATGGAAAAACAGTCCCCCTCATCATTGAGTAAAATGGTAATATTGTGACGTTAAGTGGGTAATACCAGCCAAGGAAACCCTAGTAACCGTTGGTTAATGCCCTGGTAGATATAAAATACGGTAGTTTATAAGGTCACGACCACCACAATTTTCAGTCCAATGGACTAGCCACCCATCACTCAATGTGACAGGGGTCAGAAACCAGTCCACCAGACCTCCTCTATTCCACAGAAATCCAGGCAGTACTAGTCTAGTTTCCAACAAAGGGATGGCAACGTCACTTCCCCAGCAAGTGTTTGGATATTGCACGTGGCCAGCCATAGTAATGTTTTGTTTGTGGAGACTCTCCAATGGGGGATTTTAGTCCCCTTGCTCCACCAAACCATTGTAAACACATGTGCCCTTCTGCCTCGAGCCGATCTCATTACGATACATTTTAATGTGGTTATTTGGTATCTAAATGTATGGTGGACGGGTTATAAGCGCCCGCCCTGCAGCAGTCCAGATTCAAAACCTATCATTGGACACCATGAGAATAATCAGCCATCATTAGACCTCCTTTGCCAGTACCAAAATATAATAATTGGGGTTTTCCCCTTTTTTCTGGAAACAAAACTGAAACTTTTTACAAGGATTCATGTCTGCATTAACCACAATACCTGCAGTCAAAATGCAAACAAAAATCATACTATGATAATATATGCATTGTCCTTGAAACTGATTGGTCCACACCAGGGACGGCTTTCTTTTGAGCCTCGACCCAATTGGTGCTAGACCAGAGGACGCCAAAAGGCGTCACACAGCTCAAAGACAATGCACTATCAAAGTAATGAGGGCTCGGGGTAAGCATCTACATCATTGGACCTCCTTTGCCAGTACCAAAATATAATAATAGGGGTTTTCCCCTTTTTTCTGGCAACAAAACTAAAATCATTTACAAGGGATCATGTATGCATCAACCACAATACTTGTGGTCAAAATGCAAACAAAAAACACACTATGATAATCAGTTTCAAGGACAATGCATATATTATCATAGTGTGTTTTTTTTTTGCATTTTGACCACAAGTATTGTGGTTAATACACACATGATTCCTTGTAAAAGGTTTCAGTTTTGTTGCCAGAAAAAAGGGGGAAACCCCATATGATAATAATCAGCCAAATAACAGCTTTCATTCAGTGCAGCTGACTGGCGCCACAAACGTTTTTTTTTTAAACAGGCATCAAAGACAAAGATCCCCCGTATAGCCTTATTGACTGTTAGGCCAAGTGCTGTTCGCAAGAACTTTTCAAGGCCTCTTTAGGGGTCCTTGCGAGCTGCTCCTCTTCCTGCTGGAGGGCGGGCGAGAGAGGCGCGCCCAGGAGCTGCGGTCTGACGCCACGTGAGAGCCCGACCTCACCTGAAAAAAAGCGCACGAGGGAGCCACCTCCTGCAGTGCTGGAGAGGAGTCGGTCCGGGCTGCGGAGTCCGTTGAGCCCAGAGGAGCTGGATAAGTGGTGGACTGGAGCGTATAGATGGTAGTCATACACAGGGAGAATTATGTTTAAAATATTTTGGAGGCAGACAGCAACACGGACACAGGAGCAGGTAAAAACATGCATTGTGCAATACAGGTGTGTACACATGAAGTTACGCATCGGGGTCATGATCCATTAAATAATTTTCTGAATATCATCAAAGTTCAGGGCAGAGGGTATTTTACATTTATGATATTTCAGGCTCCAGGTTAAGTGGTTAGGGTGTTTTCCAATTTTAATAGGTGTGCCTTAGGTATTTCCGTGGATGTTCATTTTAAAAGGTACAATGCTGGTTCAAGTGTATGATCATGTTTTATATTTAAGTTTTCAAAAAGTTATTTACAGGTTGTTACAGAGTCTTTCAGGCAGAGAGGGCGTCACCGGTTTATGAAGACAATGGATTATTCTAACCGGATTGGTGGCACGGAATTGAGCCCCTCAGTGGACTCAACTTTGTGGGGCTGGAAGCCAAGAGGAGTGACAAAGCACCAGCACGCGCTACTCCAAACCTACATTTTAGCAAGGGAAACTATCCTGGCAAATTGGAAAGATCATGAACCCCCTTCTTGGGGACTCTGGCAGATAGCTCCGCTTGTCTTGGTGGGAATGGAGCACCTTCGTCATAAACTTAAAGGGAAAGGGTTTAGAATATGAGGCTACATGGTCCCCGTTTTTGCTGAACCCTGCTTGAATTGTCAGAGAAGGGGGGGAGCCGGGGAGAGGGGATAGACTTTTGACACTGCACCATTTTTGTAAACGCACGACGTCCGTTGCTTCTTGGGGAAATAAAAAAATTACAAACTTGGATATCACGTGTATATTATTTAATTTTTGGTTTTGTTTGGTTACATTATCCCCCCCCTCCCCTTCTTCACTCCCCTCCCCTGCAAATGTGCAACTCCCGATCGTCACCTCTATGATGGTAGGGCTGTGATCCCGAGTTGTTCCAGCAGGTCCCCTTCTTGAGAGGGTCACCTCAAAATGTTCCGCGTTCATGACATGTTTGTTTTCTCGCGGATGTTTGTATGTTGGTCTCTTGACAAAATATAAAAAAACAGGGTGTCGCGGGGTTTCTGAGGCAGTATTTGATGCAGGCGGGGTGTTTTAATACCTCTGATGATTCAGCTTAATTTTTTGATACGGGAAGTGTATTATGAACAGGTTCTTCTGGAGTTTCCAGGCAGAGTGGTATTGCGGCCACTCGCGGCCACCGTGGTGGTCGTGCCCTGCCCTACGTGCGCTTTCAAGGAGGGAGAGGTCGCTGTCGATGAAGTTCCGAGGAGCCAAGGGAAGGCCGACGGAGCTGGGGGGGGGGGGGGTGACGGAACCGGGGCGGGGGGGGGGGGGGCGATGGCGAGACAAAGAGGGAGCCGACACTGACTCACTCACACATCATACACTGACTCACTCACACATCATACACTGACTCACTCACACATCATACACTGACTCACTCACACATCATACACTGACTCACACCATGCACTGACTCACTCACACATCATACACTGACTCACTCACACACCATGCACTGACTCACTCACCATGCACTGACTCACTCACACATCATACACTGACTCACACATCATACACTGACTCACACACCATGAACTGACTCACTCACACATCATACACTGACTCACTCACACATCATACACTGACTCACACACCATGCACTGACTCACTCACACATCATACACTGACTCACTCACACATCATACACTGACTCACACACCATGCACTGACTCACTCTCACATCACACACTGACTCACACATCATACACTGACTCACTCACACATCATATACTGACTCACACACCATGCACTGACTCACTCACACATCATACACTGACTCACTCACACATCAGACACTGACTCACACACCATGCAATGACTCACTCACACATCATACACTGACTCACTCACACATCATACACTGACTCACTCACACATCATGCACTGACTCACTCACACATCATACACTGACTCACTCACACATCATACACCGACTCACTCACAAATCATACACTGACTCACTCACACATCATACACTGACTCACTCACACATCATGCACTGACTCACACAATGCACTGACTCACTCACACATCATACACTGACTCACTCACACACCATGCACTGACTCACTCACACATCATACACTGACTCACTCACACATCATACACTGACTCACTCACACATCATACACTGACTCACTCACACATCATACACTGACTCACTCACACATCATGCACTGACTCACTCACGCATCATACACTGCCTCACTCACACATCATACACTGACTCACTCACACATCATACACTGACTCACTCACACATCATGCACTGACTCACTCACACATCATACAC